ATTTGTCAGGCATGACTTGCCCTCGGTGAAGCCATGCTGGCTGTCACCAATCACCTCCTTGTTTTCTATGTGCCTCAGCAGAGTTTCCAGGAGGATCTGCTCCATGATCTTGGCAGGCACAGAGGTGAGACTGACTGGCCTGTAGTTCCCTGGGTCTTCCTTCTTTCCCTTTTTGAAAATAGGGGTTATGTTTCCCCTTTTTCAGTCGGCAGGAACCTCACCGGAACACCACGACTTCTCAAATATGATGGCTAGTGGCTTTGCGACCTCTGCCAGTTCCCTCAGGACCCGCGGATGTATCTCATCAGGTCCCATGGACTTGTGCACTTTCAGGTTCCTCAGGTGGTCTCGCACTTGATCTTCACCTACAGTGGGCAGTTCTCCATTTTCCCAATCCCCAGCCTTTGCATTCTGTGTCATGGGCAGTGCGGCTGCAGTCCTTGCCAGTGAAGACAGAGGCAAAAAAGACATGGAGTACCTCAGCTCTGTCTCTGTCCTGGGTAACCAGTTCTTGTGTTTCCTTCCGGAGAGGGCCCACCTCTGTCCTAGTCTTTCTTTTCTCGCTGACATACTTAAAGAAGGATTTTTTGTTTGTCTTAATGTCCCTGGCCAGATTGAGTTCTGTCTGGGCTTCAGCTTGTCTAACCTGATCCCTGGCTGCTCCAACGATTCCTCTGTGTTCTTCCCAGGCTACCTGCCCCTGTTTCCACTCCCTATAGGCCTCCTTTTTCCTTTTGGTCATGTCCAGGAGTTCATCCAAGGCAAGTAACATGTTATTTGCTCAATACCAAGACCTGCAAAATATTCTACCACATCAAATTGTAGTTAAGATATACATGAAACACTTTTGACAACAAATACTTGAAAAATTAGAATATGTATGATGAATAGCTTCAGACACTGAAATTTGTTCTTTGGTATTAGAACGTGCAGCATTCCTATTTAAGTGTGTGAGAATTTTGCCTGCATAAGCAGAACCCAGGCCCAAGTAATAACAAAATACATGCTGCAGAAAGATCAGATAACTGCACTCTGGATGGTTTCCCAGGTTCTTCCTTTGTCTACCAGTGTATTGGGTCTAGTTATTCTCTGCTGAAATCAATGAGTGCGTTGCATTGATTATAGCTGGAACAAGTTTCAACACAGTATTTGAGCAATGAGAAACCTTAATTTTGCGAATCTTTATGCCTACTTAACATGAAGTCAGTAACTGCATCAAGAAACTTTATTTTTATCAATTCTTATGCCTGTTTAACATAAAGTCGATTTCTGCATCTTAAGCTGTATGGATCTGCTGTTCAAGGTTAATGATAATTCATGTTTTTTGTAAGATTGTGACTTTGGACCATAAAAGTAATAGTGGCCGAATATGATTTCAAAATGTTACATTACATAGTTCACAACGATATCTTAGTGTTTTGCAGTTTAGATCTGTTTTAGTAGAAAGAATTTACCTTGACTCATTTTCTTTTGTTTTTCAGGAAAAGAAATGGAGCAAGTTCAGTAACTATCCAGTCTAACGTCTTACTGCTATCTTAAGGAATCTTACAAATACTTGTTTTGAATTGAGAAAATGACTGCAGATATAGAAGAAAGTACAGGTTGTTGGAAAAGAATACCTGTCAAAATGTGGAACATCCAGTAGTTAATTTGGAAATAGTATAACATAAACATACCTGTTATGGTGCAATTCTGGAGTGGAGTTAACTCTGTAGCACACAGGTAGCTCTCCAAGGAAGAAAAAAAAAAAAAAGCTTTCTGTTTTTCTAAATTATGGAAATTTTTTGGAAGACGTGGACATGGATTTTGAGCCTAGTCATGGTTTCGTCGGAATTTCACAGTGACAGCAGGCTTTCATATAGTTCTCAAGGTAGGGTTCTGACCTCTAGTTGACTAGAAGCATCTATTTTTGCATTTCATTTGGGTAATATTTTCTAAACCATGTTTATATAATTCATGAAATCATATGGGCGCTCTTCTTAGTCTTATGATTCATTGTCATGGAAGTTTTAAACACAGCAAATCTGATTAATTTTTTTTTGATGTTGTAATTTCTGTCTACTTTTAACTGTAGAAAAGCCTTGCAAATTAAATCTAATAAAGTGTTGTACTTGGTAACAGTTTAGAGGCTTGCATAACAGCATTAACATGTTTTTAGGCTAGGAAGTAAGGATCTAATCTTAGTTTGATCCATTCAGATTTAGGATTTTAATGAAATGAAGAGCCGATTTACATTGTTTTTACAATATAATACTTTTCATTACTACTGTTTTTATTTTTGCAGGTGGATCTAATAGCTTTTGTCTTTGAATGGTATTGCTGGGAAGAATGTGTCTTCCTTAGGTTAGAATTTAGCCCCAAATGTTTACATATTTTAGGTAAATAGCAAAATATATGTAGCTAAAAACTTTTGTATTTCCAGTGACATCACATTAATAGGAAACTGAACACATTTTCTTGACTTAAAAAGAAAGAAAAGAATGTTTTATTTTGTTTAGTAAAACGTTACATCTTGCATTTACCTGCAAATGACTTTTACTCATGAGGGTGATGAGATTTAGCCAAGTATGGTTTATGTTTATACTACTACTTGTTGTTTCCTGTTATATTTTCTCTCTCTTCTATGCCCACTCCCTGGACTGTCTTACCTTGTGATTACAAAGAGGAATTCCTGTCTTACCTTGAACACTACCAACTAACAATCCCAATAAGGGTTGATCAAAATGGAGCCTTCCTCAGCTTTACTGTGAAAAATGCTAAACCCTCAAGAAGGAGGAGGAGCACAGACCCTTATGACCAAGAACTGGCAGCATCTAAATTATTTTTTAAACTTTCTGCCTATGGCAAGCACTTTCATTTAAACCTGACTCTCAACACAGATTTGGTGTCCAGACATTTTACAGTAGAATACTGGGGGAAAGATGGACCGCAATGGAAGCATGATTTTTTAGACCACTGTCATTACACAGGATATTTGCAAGACCAGCACAGTACAACTAAAGTGGCCTTAAGCAACTGCAATGGTCTGGTAAGTGCACATTACATATTCTAGTACAATAGTGTGCTTGTCCCTTTTAAATTACTGAAGAAGGACCTAATTGGCGTATCTCAGGTTTTTGAGTCCCTGTGGGAAGCAAGCAGACAGGAGGGTGCAGAAAATCACTAAAACCTGATATGGGTGCTGGGGAAAAGTAGTCATTGGTTTTTCAAGCTTAATTGTAAGTACTGAGACTAAGATCTGTAGTCCTTTGGCAGGCAAAATTTTCAGTGCTTACCATGTCTGCTCTAGGGCTGCAAGGTGAGGTCTGTGCTGAGACCCTCGTGGCTTGTGAAAATGTTGCAAGCTCAAGGGGCAGGGAGGAGGAAACAGTGGATCCTTTGGGATGCTGAATCTCTGCAGAGAGATGTTGGTTGAACTGAACACCCACTTGTTGTCTTTGAGAATTTGGGTTTAGAAACTTCGCGTTAATAACGGACGAGAGGAATTGCTTGGTGTAGAAGTCATTGTTGCTATAAATTCAGAGAGTGAAGAGGAAAGTAGGTCCTCTGCAAGTACCAGCATCAGGTAGTAATGATTTACCTTTTTTTAGAAATACTTCGTTTACAAATTGTAAACAGTTACATTTAAAAGTAGGATTAGTCTCATCTCTTTTATTCTCATCTCTTCTTCTATTTGATCACATGATCAAAGCTTCTTTTATTCCCACCAGAAATTAGAAAACAAATGCAAAAAATTGAAAACCAGACTATTGAGTAATAAAGCACTAAAATATAAAGGCATGACTAGGAAATACTAAATTAAGAGCCCATGATTTCCCTAGCAAAAATACATGTATTATGGTTATTCATTCTGGTTTTAGTTGTAGTAGGACACTGGTCAGTCTTCTTGTTAGGAATAGACAGATCTACCTAATTTCTAGCGAAAAAAAAAAAAGATTACACAGGCTTACTAAACTGATTCCTTTTTATACTTGAAAGTGCTATTGAATAATGCATCTGGGGATGTTATTTACAAGTAAAAGCCTTCAGACTGAGATAGGTTGCATTACACCCAGCTACTTGTGATATCCCTGATACAGCCTAGGTTAACATTTTGGAGTACTCTTGAGGAAAAAGAATTTAATGGGGATTTCCAGGGCTAAGTGAACACTTTCAAAGAAACGTAGTTAAAATGGTGTTCTGTTGAGTGTGGTAACAGTTTGGTTAGTGCAGACTTGTAGTGGATAGGTCTTAATTCAGTATAATTTTCACTTCGGTTTTGCAGTTCCCATGTAGTAACTTTTTTTGTCACAGTTATTTAAGATCTTGAACTAATAAAACTCAATCATTTTGCTTCTGAGTTCTTTTCAGCTAAAAATACTATGGAGGGCAAGTCCCTGCTTTCAAGACTCGCTTCTTTAAAAGAGGCTGCATGCCTCTATCTCCAGAATTTCTGCTGGTTGGGGCACAGACTGGTTGGCCACCTCGGAACCTGCAGTCCGTGCCATGGTGCTCCCTTTTGGGTTCCTCCCTGGTTTTGGCCAGGGAGTCAGCCAAGAACACCTGCTCTTGCCTTAGCCAAATCTTACTTTCATGTTAGGAAAACAAGAGTGGGATGAAGCAGGAGAAGTCCATGTTCTTCTCTCAGCGTTGCCCATTTCTCACTCCTCATGGCACCTCTTTTCTTCAAAGAATTTAGCAGCATGGAAGGTGCCACGGTGAAGCAGAATCTTTTCTTTTTCCTTCTGTGCCTCACACCCTGAGGTGACGTTTAGCATTCCTGTTGCTCAGTGTTTTCCTTCTGTCCTCAGCCTCGCTGTTTTGCTGGAGTGAGGCTGCGTGTTGTTCTGTGATTCTAGGTGTCAGTATGTTAACTTAGTGTTTGCAAGTTAACTTCAGTGCGGAGTGCTTCTCAGTTAAATCATCTTTTTCAGTGCTTTTAGTTGTTGGCAGCTCCTACGTATTTCTTCTAGGTATTCCTGCTCTGGATTAAGGCAGCCTTAATCCAGTCTCTGGGCACACCACGACTGGCACTCTTGAGTTCTTCATGGTCATGCCTCTTACTTGGGACTGCAAGTGTCAGGTGTCCACTGCATCTCCGAGAAAGGCCAAGCCACAAGCATGTGAGGCTCCTGCCATGCTCCAGAAGCAGCAGGAGTGGGTGACACAAGGCTCTTTCCCCGAGAGGCAGGGATCCTATGGAGCGGTGCAGCGGTGGGCTCGACTCTGTGTCATCCTCTACTGTACAGAAACTCCTGTGTCATCCAGTGTTGGCAAGGCCTTCCGGGGCACTGAGTATGGGAGTTACCACTCCATTCAGATAAATCCATCACAGAGTTCTCTTTAAATGAGGAATCCTGCTGACAAATATTTTATTATACAGCTGCTGGTTAGAACATGTTTAATAAAGCGATTGGCAGTGAATGTTGAAGACAATACTACTTGCTTTAGAATTAGTGATAGTTCAAAATATGTTGTGCTTAAGGCATTTGTTGTGTTTTTCAGTCTGATTCTTGGTCTGAAAGAGACTGCCAGTCATATTCTGCATAGTCCTTGATTAACATGTGTCTCAAAGTAAGTCATTTTAAGTTTAGCTCTAAAACAAGTAGTAATCGTTAACAGTGAGTGTTGCTCACAAGCAAAATTTAAGCATTCAGTTTATTCCAGTTGTCTTGTTAGGCTTCAGTATTGCCAAATGAGTCAAATTTCTTCCCCTTAATGAATGTTTTGAGTTATTCTGTTTAGTTTTTCAGGGTAGTCGGGTGAGACCATGGTCTAATTAACATAAATTGTATGACTTTAAAGAACACTTGCAGTTTCTGAGATGAGTTCTACTGCAAGGAGGGCTTTCTCTCAGTTTTGTTATAATGAAATTGATGAGCAGTCAGTTCATTTCCCTGTCACTGTTTCCTGTTTCAGCCTCTCCCTCTATATTTCTTATTACCAAGTGCCCCAGAATTACAGGCTGCTACTTACTGAAGTTTCATTCCAGCAGTTTCCATCTGCTGGGCCCTGATTATGCTATAAATTGTCTGAAGTTATGAGGAAAGCTCTATAATCCAGTGAGCAGTCATGTGAGGAAATTGAAGGTCTTGTCCGGCAGGCTTTTTGGCTTCCAAACTCATATTTACTGTAGTGGATGTTACATTTGTGGATGGATTGCAGGTTTGGCCTTCTCATGAAAGAGTCTGCAACGAGCAGTATTTTGGGGCCTTTGGATGTTGGGTGCGAGGCAACAAGGCTGAGGCATTGCCTAAGCTGAGCATGTCATACTGAAGGAAAAGAAGAGAAGAAACGGTGTTAGACTGGCTGAAGAGAGAAGAACGCCTCAAGGGAAGGAAGTTTGTCTAATTGAGGGGAGCAAGTCTTAAAGAAGAAAAGTTTTGGAGCTCATAGTAGTGGAATTCAGCAGAAACCAAACTTTTTGCGTTCTGACCGACCTCTGTCCTCTGCCAGGTATCAAAGCTCTTAACTGAGTCCTCAAATAAGTTTTCTGCAGTAGAAGATTTTCTCATTTTGAACTGAAAAGCCCAGTAGTGGGAAATACATTAATATGTGTAGAAAGTGATTATTATTAGGAAAATGAATGAGAGTTTAAATCATATTTTGAGGCTACTGTGGGTCCAATGTAATGTTTAATGTAAAAGCCCAAGTATTTCCATAGCATGTGAAGTTTCATGCGCTGAGTGACATTTGTGCCAGGTTGCACCAATGTCTCCGTCCAAAAAGAAAGCACAAGAAGTAGGCTGTGGCTAAAAGCATGACCGTACTTGGTTAAAGGAGGAATTATTCTGCTGGAAGACTTCATTTTTGTTTCATGTATTCCTAAATTCATATATGTATTAATTAATCATATTCTTAAATTATCTCATTTGAAAGCTGATTATACTATAAATAATACATCTACTTTTATAGATTATAAATTGCATATAGTATGGTGTTTTTTAATCGTATGTAAAGTAATGTCTAATTTCCAAAATAATTGATAAAGATCAGAAATTATATTGAAAGGGATTTAGTGTTGTAGGTCAGTGTCTTTGGAGTTCTCTTTGGTACTAATATGTATTTGCAGTATAGACTTAGTATTTAGAAAATTATATATAAGCTGTCCCTTTCCCGCTTTTAAGGTGTCTTGTTAGATTCCGTGATGTACTGTCTCAAGCCAGATCACTATTTTTTTCATCTTTAAGAACACAGTAAGCTAATGCAATCTTTTTCTTCTGTCATAAAACTGCACTGAAGTGTGTAGCCAGCTGTAGACATACTGAACAACACTGACACACTTTCAGAAGTTTCCATTAATACTATTTATATTAAAAATGGATAAGGCATAAAGTCTAGGAAGGTTCAGGGCATGGAGAAATTGTAAAACAGTACTACTGCGTGGAAAAGGCACACACTTACTTGTCCTCCACAATTCAGTTTGCTTCTGTGACTGATGGACATCCTCCATCTGAAGGAGGTTAAGGCTCCAGCTGGACAGCCTGACAGAAAAAGATTCCTTTTTACAAATTCAGGGGAACTCCATGTGGATTCACAGATTTGTCTGAGCATGTCAAACCGCTGGATCCAGACCTTATATATGTTAGCAGGAGTTGGCAGTCTGTAGTGGGATTGGATAACACAGGACCTCAAACAATCTGTTTTAGATAATAATCTTGGGAATGTTGCTGGTAGTAACCTACTTGGGGCATTCAGCTTGTTTCTTAAATTCATGGTATTTTGTCAAAACCTTTTGCTGGTCATTCTTATGTCATAATGATATTTCTTATGCTTTGGAGAAGTTTAATTTACAAACTGTTCAAATACAATAGCAAAACTAAAAACAAAATTAAAATTAATTCATTTTAATGCTTTCAAAGGGCATTATTTCAGTCTCCTTTTTCAACTGAAACTGTGTCTTGCTCAAATAGTAGATTATAAGCCAAAATGGGGTTTAGAATATTGGTTTGGATATAATATCATGATTCCCACTGCTTATTAATCAGGTATTGCTGAATGCACGTACAATGGAAGTATCTCTAGCCACATAAATTTCCTAAACTCAATTAAATGCTGTTTGTCACTGACATACGTACTTTTTATATATGGAATTTGGAGCGCTTCTTAAAAATCAGTCACTGCAATTCAGTGAGACCACTTGCATCAGCTTAATATTGGAAGAACAGTTTTGTTTGCCAGCAAAATTAGTAAATTAGGTTTAAAATGGTATACGTGTGCCGGGCTTATTTGAAGATGCCCTTTAAATATGTGTATATGCCATACAGGGCAAGTGAGTTTCCAGTGTTCCAGCAACTGACTGCATACATGTTCTGACTATGTGGTGCTAGGTATAAGTTAAAATTTATTTGCGGTTCCTCAACGAGATGTTAGGAAGATCTCTGTTTTCTTAAACCACCATAGTGTTTGGGCAGATGAGATCAGATGACGACTAAGCATAGGAAAAATTGGTGCTACTCTCCAGCCGTTTTTACTTCTGGTACCTGAAGGAACTGTGATCATAGTTTGCAGACATTTGTAATAGTTTTTGCATATTTGCAGCAGTAAATACGCAATTTGTATAGAGAATTAATATTGCAGTTAAGTGTTTTTTATGGCATCTGAATTGACTCACTCCCACTGAAGTCATCTCACTGCTCAAAGCTACCAGTTCAGTATCTGATCTAAATGTCTCATTTCATGCTTAGGCTTGTTAACCTGGCTGGATTAGAGTACAGAGATGAAGAACAGATGCCCTGGAGTAACCAGATTTAGATTAAGACCCACTCTGTCCAGAGACAGAGCCACAGGTTGGATGGTACCTCTGTCTCCTCAGGCTTGGCATGAAGCGGACAGCCTGATGGGGTTGGCCAGAACCACTCCACAGGACTCTTTTCTTGTGGGAACATGATACCGGAGCTTATAATGGCTCAGGATTCGCGTGAACCCAGATGTCTGACATCCAGACTGGAAGCAGTCCAGACTGTCAAGGTTCTTTCTGCACATCTGGCAAACCCAGTTATGATTTCATTTACATTTTCAAGACCACTTCAGCAGCAGTGTACCAGTAAATGATTTATTTTCTAGTAAAATCACAGACTCCAAGTAACAAGAAGGCATTGTGAGAGGAATTTGATATCAGCATCTTCCAGGTGAATATAGACCCTGATTTTGCCTTCTTGAGTAAATAATTGAGTTCATAATGAAAAATACCACTGAAGAGGAACACTTAGTCTTAGTCCCTGTGCAAGGAATGTGTAATTGAAAGCTGCAGTGTGTTCATACATCAAAATTTTTAATAGTCTTATATTTGGAGAATACTGTTCTTTCTGATGTGTAACACAGGATTTTTTTGTTCTGTAAGTTTTATGTTATTACTGAAATCCGGTTGTTCCGGGAGTGAAGAACAGCAGGCATTTGATGTACAAAACAGCAGCAGGACAAGAGCTTTGACCAAGAGTACAGTGGCAAGCCCTGATCGTAGAAACAGCTTTAGGATATTTAGAGCAGATATGGAACGAATGGTCTTATGGTTGATCATAGAGGTCTCATCAGAGGAAAAAAAATAACTCCTTTAAAAAAAGGCTCATGCATAGTACTTGCTTTACAGATCAAAGGTGTGGTAGAAATTTGTGATTCATCAAATCAAGATATGAATGCAGAAGTTCCTGCTTCCAGTCTCCTACCTGATGAGTAGCTCTTTCTCCTGGTGTAGAAAGTTCATACATTCAGAATTTTCTAGATATGGATACCAGAAATTTTTATTTAGCAAATAAAGGTGCGGGAATTTGTCAGGGCTTATTCCCCAATATTTCTATATCTGAAAGGATTCCAAAACTGGATTTTCTACTAAAGTTCAGTTTTAATTGCTGAAGGTTCAGGAAATTGCATAGTTGGCCTGAAATCCCCGTTTTCTTCCATAAACCACTTCCTGTTTGGAAGAAGTTGAGTTCACAAATGTGAAAGTTATGAGAATAGAATATCTACTATTCTGCTCTGCAGTATGAGGAAAAAAGTGTTCATTTGTTAAAGAGAATGAAGTCCTAGAGCCTAGTCTGCAACAACTTGGATTTGCCAGATTAGTGGTGAGACCTTTTAAGGAATGAATGCTTTGTAGATAGTGTGTCATAGAATGGTTTAGGTTGGAAGAGACCTTAAAGATCGTCTAGTTCCAAGACCCCTGCCATGGGCAGGGACACCTCCCACTAGGCCAGGTTGCTGAAAGATTCATCTTCAGTTAATGTTAATAATTTCATTTTAATAAGTAGCTCAGTTTTGCAGTTCAGCATTTGAATGTAAAATGCTGAATGTTTTCCCTGAATATATGTTCTAAAATTAATCCTTCATTCATCTTTTCTTTGATGCAGTATGTGGCTTTAAGCATCTACCGGTATGTCATCACAGAGGGATATTGGTCTCACTATTTGACCAAGGCCGTTTTGGCTTGGCATCACTTTTAATGGATATGAATCATGTAGTTTTGGAGCATCACTGTGAAGAGATTATTTGTCATACACTGAGAATATCTCTTGCTTTCTTACCACATCCACCAAAAATGATGGGAAAGAACTCCAGAAACAGGGCAATGATATTTGTGTCCTTTTCTGATTATGTGGCTTATAGGCGCTTACTCCTGCTGCCACTAGAATCAGTGGAGGAGAGCTGGCCTGTGCATTGTTTTCTGTGTTGTCTTACAGTTGTGGATTTCTTCAAAGACATAGATGATAGTAAAACGTTTTTTGAAGTTAAGCTTTTTGATAGGAGTTTTATATTGTCTTTTGCAAGTTTTAATTTTCTTATTTTCTTCTTTAAGCATGGAGTCATTGCTACAGAAGATGAAGAGTATTTTATTGAGCCTTTAAGGAATATAACAGAAGATTCTAGTAGCTTTAATTATGAGAATGGTCATCCTCATGTTATATACAAAAAATCTACCATGCGCCAGCAACATCTCTATGATCACAGTCACTGTGGAGTCTCAGGTAAATCACACTTGATTATGAGTGTCAATCCTTTTGAAAAAAATTGTAACTTAAAATATATTTTAAAATCTTGTTTGGTTCACATGTAAAACAGTGGAGAATGTAGCAATGGGAATCCTGCTTTTGGGTGATATAATGTGCCTGGTTGAAAAGAAGTTTTGCCTTTTTTTTTTTTTTTTTTCAGATTCAGATATAGTGTCTTTCAAAAACTGAGACACTGGGAATAAGTCTTGCTTTATGCCTGTGTTGTACGCAGTGGTAGTAATAAGCACAGGCTTCCTCAAAATATGCTACAAATGTACTTAATTCCCCAACTGGAAAGTCTGAGTGACTAAGTATTACAGCTCAATGTTTAGTAAGTGTTCCATCTCATTTGAGGAGCATTGACATGCAATAAATGTGTTAGTATTATGATTAGTAATACATATGGAGCTGGAGTTCACGTTTTTCTTGTTTACGGAGGTTTATTGTGTTTTGATACTGGCTTTTGGTTCAGTGGGTTAACATTATTCCATAATAGCCAAATATGTGATTTACAGGTTCCTTATGGGAAGGATGATATAGTTTTGATTGAGAGATGTTTTCATTGTAAAGCAGTTTTAACTTCCACAAATACACTTTTCAAGTGCTCTTTGACATGACTTTCACTTGCTTAAACTGAAGCTGAAAAAACTAACTTTTTGAAGACAGCATAGAGTAAATCTGACAAGTTATTTTAGAGCACTGAAATAATGGGATTTTTACATAACAGAAAAATGTTCTAACCTTGTCATTTGTTCATGTCTCAGAAATAGCTTGTTCTTAAAAGTTCAGTCCTGGACAGTCATATTCCATGAGATTCAGTGCACAGGGCAGGCTTACAAATGCTTATCTTAAAAGAAAATGATACCACTCTTCACTGTTGTAACTTATTTCAGCTTCTTTTAGAGCTTGTAACTTTTACAGGCACCAGCTGACGAAACTTACAGTACAGACTGTCTACAAAGGTCCATGGTTGGGAGACAGTTTTTCCTGAGTGTTTCAGTTAACTGTTTTTAGGGAATGTCAGACTTAATGTTTGTAACTTTTTTTTAGTTTGCAAGCATTATTCCATCTATGTGCTTCTAATACTGCAAAACAAGTCTCCTAAATACTACGGCTTGCAAACTGTAAAATAAGAGTACTAATGTATGTCCATTTTGTGGGGAAAGCTGTTACTTAAGCCTCTTGAAATAAGTGGAAGGGTTATGAAATGTGGGATTATGCGATTCGTACCATTATTATATCCCTAGAAAAACAAAAGCATATTGGCCTCTGTCAGATGTTATCTTCCAGATTAACGCTTAGGAAGTCATTCTCCTCCAAGTGAGCATGGGGCAGTGGCAGCTTGTTTGGTCAGGTTGCATTCAGTCGTTCTGGTGGTATCTGTCGTATGGATTGTAGGTTGATCAGAGCTATACATCTTGCACGCATTTTTTGTGGAACATGCAGTAGTCTTTAGCATTTATTCCTTTGCATAATTGATGCTGCCTTTGCTCTTGGAAGCTCCTGTGCATTTTCTGAGCTTTCATGTCTGTCAAATCCTGGAGTCCTTAATTACTGAAATACTAGAGCACTGCTTTTTACAAGCCTGAGGCTACTAACATGCTCATTCATCTCAGTTTCTGCTTTGCTTGTTGCTCTGTGTACTACTTCTACTCCATGAAAATTTCTGAAAAAAAAATTGCTCTCCCCCAAAACTGCAAGGTCTTACTTTGCCAGGTGACGGGCTATTTTAATGTTCTCCTCATGGGTACCAAACCTGTTTTAACTCAGTTTTCAGACCCTAGCACTAAAGCAAGGTTTACAGTAATAACTTATTTTGCTAGTAGCATAAGTCTTCGGTGCTTTTGACTGATTTTGGAAGTTTTGAGCAGTCCAATTTTGTGTTTTCAAGTGCAGTTGTATCAAACCTATAGCTGCTGTTTGCCAGTTATGTAATGTATTTTGTCTGGAGACTGATTTTTAGCTTTACCTTCAGAAGAGTTTTGCCAGTGCAGTATGCTGGGAGGAATCTGCTAGTGTAGCTGTGCCACTATTCACAGTCTGGCAAGTTTCCCCTACTTTAATCTAGACCTAAATTTACAGTGTACCTGTTCTGTATCAGGGAAGTGGTCAGGATTTTGACGTGTTGATGGAGGCAAAGGGGAGTGTTATTTCTGACGTTTCTGAGGAAAAAAAAAATGCAATAACTGATAGAAGGTGGGTTGGGGAACTTGGTGAAAAGATGATCAGAATTGGTTGGGATGAACATGTGATGGACTACTTCATAGTGGATAGTAGAATTATGGTGACTAATAGAACAGATGAATTGGAGAGTCAGGGACATTTAGATAAGAACATGGGACAGATTTTTGTAACCTAAATTAGATTTTAAGCAGACGTAGAACATTTAAAAAATAAAAAATGTTCAATTACTATTTCACATATGTGTCATCACCAAGTTAACTATGTTTTATTAAATATGGCCGAAATCATTAAGGCCTTGGTAAGAAGTTCAGCACCGTCAAATTCCAATTGCTTCAATGGGATTTGAGGCCACTGGGTTATCTTGCAGAATGCTGTGTTTGGATAGGATTGAGAAACAACATAAGTTGACATCAAAGCTGCAGAGTGGCAGATTAGCTATGTGCTGCCTTATGTAGTGGTTTTATTTGTGCCAGACTTTACAGTCAGTGTATTCTAAAATGAAAAAACGCTTGTATATACACTAAATAATGATGATTTAAAAAAAAGTAAAATCCAGCACATAATGCTTCATTTCAAAATATTCTCATAGTTCCTCCTTAAATAAGTAGCTTTCTATTGTGTTTTGAGATCTTTTTCTGTTTGTGTTTGTGTTCTCTCCTCTCTCTCCACCTTCACCCCAGCCTAACAGGACTGACTTAGGAAAACTTGGTGTGAATTCCATGTCTATACACATTTGGAGTTCTTTTCTGTTGCAATTTAAAACCTAATTCCCTGCTTTTGTAGTAATTATTTTTGGGTTAATTACGGTGTTTTTCTGAGGGTTTTTTTCTTTCCATTTTTGCTTTTTTTTTTTTTTACTTCCTAATAGCTATGTTTGATGTTAATGAAGTTTAATTTTTTTTCTTTTTTTATCTAGGAATATGGTGGAAAAATGACATAACTTGCCACAGATCTGTTTTTGTTAAATATGTTGCAAGCTTTTATTGGCATGTTTTACCTTTTTAAAGAAAACTCTGTCAGCATTATTTAGTGTTTTTAAAGTAAAACAGCATAATCATTGGTAGATCCTGGAGTGTGAGCTTAAGTACTCAGGATTGTTTCCAGTTTTTCCATTGCTTTGAGACCAGCTGAAGCCTAAGCTTCTCATCTGATAAGAAAAAGAGAAATGTTTGTTTTTGTGAAGTCTTCTGAGACCTTTGTTTGAAAAACACTATCAAGATGAGTCCAAAGTATTATTTTACTTTTTTCTCTGAAAGTTTTCTGTATAAGCTCATCAGTTTTCAAATGTTTAGAACAGATTTGCATCTTTGAGTGAAAAATTATGAATAAATGTGGAAACAGGATTGCATTTCTTAGGTACTCCTAGCATTCTTAATAGCATCGGAAACCCTCAGATGTCAGCATTTGTTATTTGAGAATGAAGAGTGGATTTTTAAAAATTTTAGTACAGAAGCTGTCAGAGGAAATTACAGGCATTCCTAAATCACTGCTTACGTGAGATGAAAATCTTTGAACAATTAAAGCAACTTTGAATTTCCTACTGTAGAGATTAAAAACAGGAAGAAGCTTAGTATTCATTATAGAATCCTCAACAGGTTTTAATACTTGATATTTTTTTATACCATTGCAGAATGAGGACAATTTTATTACTGGCATTTTTTCAATTACCAGGTTGATTTTTATTTTTTTACTTTTCTAAAATACTGACCTTTTAAAGCCAACACTGTGGCCTCAAAAATTATGAAACACTGCAACAGTGGGAATGCCAAAGCTTTGTGTTCCTGGTTTTGACTTGAACATACATTCTTTGTGGTGTAGTTACTGCTTTTTGAAAATAGAATTTTAGTTGAATTGCGTAAATTCAATTCGTAAATAGAATTTTAGTTGAATTGCGTAAAGCACTGCTTTTTCATGGAAGGTACTTGGTCCTATCTCAACTGGTCCTTAACTGAACCCATTTTAGTTTTGGAGGGAAGGGCGGGTTCAATTTTGTCCTGAGGACAGGAATTCGAATTCAAAGTAAGTCTGTAGTGTTTGTTTTGCTGATAATTACAGCTGTTTAGATTTTTAATAATCAATCTGTTGCATGCAAGAAATTTTTATTCCATGTGTTTACATGAAAGGAGTTCAAGAATCAACATATTTCAATTAAAATTATTGTTAAAAATAACTATAGCAATTATCCTATGTCAGGCCATTTTAAATTTCCCATTATAATTAATTCATGAGGTAGATAAAACGTAATCTGATAGCTTTCTGAAGAGAAAATTAATTTATTTGGCCCAAAACCTATTGAGGCATGTAAGCATAATTGCCTAATAATTACAGAGTTTCAAAGGAGGGAAGAAGCTTTTTTAATGCCTTATGAGCATGTTTAATTCCTTAGTATGTTTTGATACCTTTTACCTTAATTTTGAATTTTTGGTTTCCAGTATGTTTTTTTTCCACATGTTATAGCTATCTTGTTCTTACCCATAAGATTCTGAAGTGTGCTTGTGGTTAATTATAATTAATCTTCAGTATTAACATTGATGTGCAGAATCAGATCCGTTAAAAGAAGACTGATGATTTATTATCCTAAGTTAAGTTAAGGAGAGGTGAGAATATTAGAACTCAAATTTGGCTTACCATTATATAAAGTATTTAAAAATAATAAAGAAGATTAATAAATTTAACTTTTCTTTGCCTCAAGAAAGACTTCTTTTTAGAAGCTTGACGATGGTGATCTCAACATAAAACAGCTGCATCTGACTGAGTTTTACTAGTGACGCGTCTGAAGTGTGTAATTATTTCTGGTTCCTAGAAGACCTCACAAGAAGCGGTAAACCGTGGTGGATGAGTGATGCATCTGCTTTTCCAACTTCACTTCCAGTCAATGACACGTTAAATAGTCATAGTCGACAGAAGAGATCAGTAAGCCTTGAACGGTTTGTGGAAACGCTGGTAGTAGCAGACAAAATGATGGTGGGATACCATGGTCGCAAAGACATTGAGCACTATGTTTTGAGTGTAATGAATATTGTAAGTTTCATCCCTCTCTGTGTTCATATCAGTATGTATGTACTGAAATGATTAAGCAACTGTTAAGTATTTATTTATTGGCATGAATAATGCTTTAAAATAACGTATTGGCTTGCAGGAATGAATAGTTGAAATATGGCAAATGTTAGCATTGTAGGAAAAAATGCAGTAGTGTTTCTGTCAAGAATTACTCTATGATCACTTTTGAATTGTTTGTCTTTAATTTTAGATTCATATGATTACATTTAGATTATACACTTCTATTCTCTTTAAGTCAACAGTCTGTATGCTTCTTGTGCTGGATCAGTTATGAAACATGGTATAAACGGTTTTCATTGAAAAGTGTGACCCAAGAAGTTTGTTTTACTGAATGGTCATTTTTGGTCCAAAAATAACTCTTATTCAGGTGGTAATGATAACTAACATTATGAAATTACACTGAGCAAGAAAATAGGTTAATTTTTAACCATTTAGGAAACAAGTAGTGTTTCTTGTCTGACTTTGTGCCTTTTCTTATTTTCTGGAGGTCAGGTTGCCAAACTTTATCGTGATTCCAGTCTAGGAAACGTTGTGAATATTATAGTGACACGTTTAATTGTCCTCACTGAAGATCAGGTAAGAGCTGTTGGCACTAAGCTTTATATTACTGAAATACAAGTTACATTATTGTGTAATATAGATTTCATTTAATCATTGCTTGAAATGGCTGCATCTGGGTACAAAACCTATCTTGTAATCTTTCACTACTTTAATCAAGATGAAACCGTTCAAAGGAATATTCCTCTTGTATCATCTCAAAGATATCTGTTCTTTACTTCAGGTGAATATTAGTAAACCTTCGGGGATGTCGATTTTATTTTTAGATCTATATTTTATGATATTCTAATTTTTTTGTATTGACATAATCATTAATAAAGTTGGAGCAGAAAGAATGCCTGTTCAGTAATACACAGCTGAACTTGGGGTCAGATTTTACA